CTAAACCCTAAACCCTAAACCCTAAACCCTAAACCTTAGCCCCTGAACCCCCAACCTCAAGCCCCGTGAGGCCGCTGCGGCAGCGCAGCGGGCGGCAGATTTGGTCACCAAGGCGCCTGCGAGGGGTTTAGGGTTTAGGGTTTAGGGTTTAGGGTTTAGGGTTTACCTGGGAATCCCTTGTGCCATAAATTCGCGTCCGCTTCGAGAGGCTGGAAAAACATGTCCTCGCGAAATTTCTGTCCGCTTGGAGGGGCTGCAAAAAAACCGTTTCCGGCCGTTAACAAAACACAATCAAAACAAGTGAAGCCGAAACATGGACCAGTTAGGTACTCAGGCTTGAGAAGGCTGAAAGAGCTTGGTTTCAGGGCGCGGTCGTGCCTTGTAGAGGTCTGGATTACGCGGTCAGGCTCATTCTACGAGGGTTAAAAAAACAAAAATGTCCGCTTATGGACATTTTATCGGGATTGGGGTTTGTTTTTTTTTGGTCTTTTGTCGACAAAATGTCGATAAAATATGGTTTTCCTACGGGTTACGGTTTTCCTACGGTTTCCTGCGGCTCACCAAAATCCCGAAAAAATGTCGACATTTTATTGGGATAAGGGTACGGATTTGTAGTCTTTTGCGGAAGACCCATTTCCTGTAGGTCCTTGGATCACAAAGAGTCGCGTAAGTGCTCGCAAAGCAATCCTTTTCAATCTTTTGGGCTTCAGAGAGAAGTAGCCTCGCAAGCCTCGAACTCACATATGGAGCGCGCGCACCAACGAGTTCCCTTACACAGGCAATAGGATACTTGCTTGACTATTATTAGGCTAAACCTAAAAAATGGCCGCTTTGCCTACACCCCAAAAAAACCATTAAAAAACCGAAATACGGCCTTTCTACGGTAAAATCCAGATTTTGCCATATGGACACTAATTTCCGGCCGCTAGGATCTTCAGGTAGGGTTTAGGGTTTAGGGGTTAGGGTTTAGGGTTTAGGGTTTAGAGATTAGGGTTTAGGGTTTAGGGGTTTCGGGGTTTAGGGGTTTAGGGGTTTAGGGCGTAAGGGCCGAGGGGATTTAGGTCCCGACTGGACCTGGGCTTGATTGTTCTAGGGTTCTTGGAAGTAGGTTTAGGGTTTAGGGTTTAGGGTTTAGGGTTTAGGGTTTAGGGTTTAGGGTTTAGGGTTAGGGTTTAGGATGTAGGGCCTGGGGATTTAGTGTTGCGAGTTTAGGCTCAGGGTTCAACGTCGGCCTCGTAAGGTTGAAGATTCTCGGCGGCGGAAGGTCTTTAGGGTTTAGGTTTTAGGGTTTAGGGTTTAGCGTTTGGGGATCCTACAATTGAGGATAGCTTGCCTGCATCTGTCTCAGGCTCGCATTTTATCTGGTCTTAGCCCTACCCCTAAACCCGAAGCCCTAAACTGCTACACAGGGCTTTCAACTGCACTAAACCCTAAACCCTAAACCCTAAACCCTAAACCCTAAACCCTAAACCCCTAACCCTAAACCCTAGTTAAACCCTAAACCCGAAACCCTAAACCCTAAACCCTAGTTGAACCCTAAACCCTAATCCCCACATCTTGAGAACACTAACATGCCACATACCAAGAACCGCAAACTCGTAAACCAACAAAAGGTTGGGGTTCACTCGGGCGGACCCTAAACCCCAAACCCCAAACCCTAACCCTTAAACCCTACACCCCAAACCGCACCTTGACTCCCAGCCCTCCTGCTTCACTGCCACTTTGCTGCATTGTACCCTACGAACTTTGGGACAGTCTGAATACATATTTGGCAAGGCCTGACTGCAGGCATTGGCTCTTGATGCCTCGGCCAGTGTTATCTCAATGGTATCAAGAGCTCGCCCACCTTCCGGATGAGGGCTTTGCGCCGATGCACCTGGCTATCAGACTTTAAGGCGTGGCTCCAGGCTGTGAATGAAGGTTTAGGGTTTAGGGTTCAGGGTTTAGGGTTTAAGGTTTAGGGTTTAGGGTTTAGGGTTTAGGGTTTAGGGTTAGGGTTTAGGGTTTAGGGTTTAGGGTTTAGGGTTTAGGGTTTAGGGCTTAGGGTTTAGGGTTTAGGGTTTAGGGTTTAGGGTTTAGGGCAACTTCCGGACCGTGGCTGGTCTTGGGCACTTGGGCATCGCTGCTGTTCGGAGCCGATGTTGGCACCTTTTGGAACCCTAAACCCTAAACCCTAAACCCTAAACCCTAAACCCTAAACCCTAAACCCTAAGCACTTTACTGTGCCACTCCCACAATGCCTTGGAGTGAGCTTTGGTCAGTCTGGCTTGTAATGCAGTTGTTCACACGCGTTTTCAAGGCACTACGATCTCTTTAAGGCGTCACTTTCCCCTAAACCCTGAACCCCCGAACTGTAGGGTTTAGGGTTCGGAGTTTGCGTAGGGTTTAGGGCCCTTCAGGGTTTAGAGTTTAGGGTTCAGGCCTTTCCACTGACTTTCGTGCATTCCGTGAATTTCAGGTGCCAGAACAGGGCTCTTATCTTAGGTCAGCCTTCTGGTAGGGTTGAAGGGTTTTAGGAGATGAGGGCTCCGGACTCGGGTGTAGTTCGGGGCTCGGTTTCTTCTACAATGGTTTCTTATTATACAGTGGTTTCTATCATGTCGGCTCGCATTATGGACTTGGTGAGTGTGATTAGGCTCCTTTGGAATGCTGGTGAGGGTATACATGGGGTGTATACGTTTTGGGATTAGGGTTTAGGGTATGACAGCCATGCTTCACCTAAACCCGAAACCATCCCTAAACCCTAAACCCTTCTAACTTCTAAACCCTAAACCCTAAACCCTTCTAACTTCTAAACCCTAAACCCTAAACCCTTCTAACTTCTAAACCCTAAACCCTAAACCCTAACCCCTAAACCCTAAACCCTAGACCCCGAAGCCGCCCGGCGGTGCTCAACTGGCCTCCTCCAGGCCATCGGGCCCACGCTTAGCCCCATAGCCCTAAACCCTAAACACTAAACCCTATCGCCTTAAACCCTAAACCCTAAACCCTAAACCCTAAACCCTAAACCCTAAACCCTAAACCCTAAACCCTAAACCCTAAACCCTAAACCCTAAACCCTTTTCGAGGCGTGGGGCCCTCGCGAGCGCTGGAGTGATGGGTCGCCCTCAGAGAAAAAGACGATGGCCCTGCCATCCCCTTAGCCCTACACATCGTGATGATTGTTTAGGGTTTAGGGTTTAGGGTTTAGGGTTTAGGGTTTAGGGTTTAGGGTTTAGGCTTTAGGCTTTAGGCTTTAGGCTTTAGGGTCTAGGGTTTAGGGTTTAGGGTTTAGGGTTTAGGGTTTAGGGTTTAGGGTTTAGGGTTTAGGACCCCTGGATCCTATAGATCCCTCAGCCCTCACCCTAAAACCCACAAGCCCAGAGAATCAGAAGCAATCCTAAAATCATATCACCCTAAGCTGTAACCCCTGAACCCTGACAACCCTAAACCCAAGGCCTAAACCCTAACCTCTAAACCCTAAACCCTAAATCCTCATCCCTAAACCCTAAACCCTAAACCCTAAACCCTAACCCCGGAAGCCCAAACAAAACCAAACGGGCAGGCCGACTGCCGAGCGCAGAAGACCATCCGGGCTTCTTCTAATCCCGGTCTTTATATCGGGTTTAGGGTTTAGGGTGTAGGGCTTGGGGTTTATGGTTTAGGTTTTGGGGTTTAGGGTTAAGGGTTTAGGGTTTATGATAAGGCTTGGGGTTTATGGTTTAGGGTTTAGGGTTTCGGGTTCCGGTTTTTAGGCAGCTTGTTCTTGTTGAAGTCGAGTCCCACATGAACAGGAAGAATCGGCATCTTGTAGGTATCGTTTGCAGCAACCTCCATGAGGGCCTTACTTTGGACCCAGAGGGTCCCTCTGTAGTACTATTATGGAAATACGTACCCCTCAACGCTAAACCCTAAACCCTAAACCCTAAACCCTAAACCCTAAACCCTAAACCCTAAACCCTAAACCCTAAACCCTAAACCCTAAACCCTAAACCCTAAACCCTAAACCCTAAACCCTAAACCCTAAACCCTAAACCCTAAACCCTACCCCTAAACCCTGTTTCCGTACTACAAATATACCCCCTGGACAAAAACTCGAAGAGTTCCATGTTCAGACTGTGGGTCCCATGCATCCATCCCTGAACTCTAAACCCTTAAGCCTTAAGCTAAAAGCATCTGCCCCACTGAAACTCTAAACCCTAAACCCTAAACCCTAAACCCTAAACCCTAAACCCTAAACCCTAAACCCTAAACCCTAAACCCTACACCTATTAAACCCTGAACCCTAAACCCTAAACCCTACACCCCACCACACCGAACCCTACTCTCTAAGCCCTAAGAGCACAGCCCAACAAAGCCTCAACCCGAACGCGGAAGACCCCAACCTCAGCGCGCGGTTTGGGGATTATTTCTCACCCGACCCTAAACCCTAAACCCTAAACCCTAAACCCTAAACCCTAAACCCTAAACCCTAAACCCTAAACCCTAAACCCTAAACCCTAAACCCTAAACCCTACACCCTAAACCCTAAACCCTAAACCCCACCACTAGAGATATTAGGGTTTTTCCTTTGGTTTTTTTCGGGGGATTCAGGGCGCCGCGATCCAGACTGTGTCCTGTCCGCAGCAGCTGGGCACCGAGGGCTAGCCCGCAGCGGGGCTGATTATTGGCTTAGTTTGGGGTTTAGGGTTTAGGGTTTAGGGTTTAGGGTTTAAGGCGATAGGGTTTAGGCCTTAGGGCTTATGCTATAGGGCCCATCGTGGCCCTTATGGTCTTTCAGCAAGCAAGGGCACCTTCGCAAATTGCTCGGCCAGCTGGGCCGAAGTACCTACCTACCTACCTTCCTACCTACCTACCTACCTACCTACTCACACACCTGCGCACCTAACAGTCAGTCCACCCCAACGCAACCCACTATACACCTCCTCAATTCTTTAAGTGGGCATCATAGCCAGCCACTGCTGCTCAACCCTACCTAACCCTCCCTTTGGAGGCTTTTTTTCGGGTTCGGCTTTTGAGCC